TTTTTTTTTTTTTTGCTTCTTTTCTCTCTACATTATCAAGGATTAAACTTGTTTGTTCCTGATGATTTCTTCTCCACACACATTAAGAACGCAAGCTGAATGCATGCAAAATCCCCACAATTGATATTTTATGTTACTTCGATGTAGAATGAAAAGACGAAAGAAAAAGTTGAAAAGGCGGAAAAAAGGGAAAAGGAGTAAACGGAGCTTACCTAGTCATCAAAATTCGCCAAAGAGCTTTTTTTTTTTTTTTCTCGATGACCATTACTCCCAGACGCTGATCATTCACTTTTGACTCGAACAAAGTTTCAACGTTTGAGTGTGAAGACCAATAGTGATGTAAATTGTGTTGGTGCTCATGGAGGCAAGTGGTGGTTTGTAGTTTACATACCGAACACGCTTTTTTTATTCTATTAGGAAGCAAGTTAAAACAAGTTTTGATTAAAACTCAAAGATAACTTGGAAAGACAAAAAAAAAAAAGAAAGAATCAATGAGGATACAGGTATTTTACTGCTGGCACGTATACACATCATGATTATTATGATCATATTATTTTGATTACCACTATTAATATTATTACTAATGTTATTGTTATTATCATTATTATTGTTATTATTATTAATACTATTATTATTACTATTATTATTACTAGAAACATCAAAAGCGTCTATACACAAATAGATTTGTCTCGTACAAATATTAAAATTACTATAACTGGGCACAACTCGTTAACACAGTGGGTAATAAATAGCGTTTCATTATAAAAGCTCTACAAACGATTTCCAAATCCAGAGTGTGAAATGTGTCTTCCGTCCTCTTTGTTCTCGTGACTATGATTTTAGTTACATTGAACGTTTGTGCGCGGAGGAACAAGGAACGGAACACTACTGACACTTACAAAAGATGGAAGATTTTAAAGCAGCTTTTGTTTGTACACAAATGTGTGCCAACTTGACGTATGAGATTCTGAAGATAGAAAAGAACCTGATTTTGGAGTCACCGAATAATTTATGGAGAAATATGAAATTGGAATGCCTCACGCGTCAAGCAGCTTTTTTCCTTCTCTGCTTTGGTTTTTCCTTTTTTTTCCTACTTGGTTAACGTAATCGACCAGAAGTCGATTGCCTCGCTTTCTCCTCATCTGTTTTATTAGCAACTACAAAATCGGCTGCTTACATGTACTGCAACAAAATAAACATCACATCCTTCGTCAGTTAAATAACAGTTGATTGTAGTAATTGGAGTACTCCATGACGCCTGTGCGACACATTTCTGTGGTCCTGAAAATAAAGAGGAAATAAAACAGTATTTGGTTTTGATTTATGCCGTCTTCTTTACCACAAATCAGTTGGCCACAAACCCTTCGGTTTAGTATAATCCTTACCTAACAACGGATCTTCTGTCAGCCCGTTCAAAATTCGATCTAACTAGTTCGTAATACTGACCATCGGATAATACTACAGAATGTAATTTCAGACACTTCATTCGCAAAATATCAATAAATTTACTGAAAAGAGACATTGACATTGACAAAAGGTCTTAACACAGTTTCTCGCTTGAGTATCTGGCAACATTTGAAGATACAAGCTTTGACAAAAATTGTTGGCGAAAGTCAGTCAGCATTATTTGAAGCAAGTACAGACGCTACATATAACAGCAACCATAAAGCGTTTGAAAACTTTTTGAACTTAGTAGTAATGAAATCAAAAATCATTTACTTCATACTCTCCCAAACTTGAAACCTATTTGTCTTTTTCTGTTTTAAAAACAGAAAAAAATTGACATTTGGTTGAAACTTTAAAAGTTACCTAGATTTATCACTAAAACGTAGTGTTTCGTCGTCCCAACGAATTTCCAGCCGTTTAAGTTTGGAACAGTTTTGAGCAATACATTCAATAAACTGATCTATGTGAATTTTTGCAGTAACTTTTGGGCAACAATCCTCTGCAATACCCATCACAAGGGTTCTGCAAATATAACAAATAATTAGAGTCCTAAAGAACTAAAAAATTTAGGCAATACATTCTTACATGGAAAAAATTGATGTTTTTAGACCTCTACAATATCTTACTTAATGTTCCTCAATTTTGGGATCATTCCAGTCCAGAAATATTCTAGCAGTTTATGATGACCGCCGAGATTAAGGGCAGAAATGTGATGTCCATGCCTAGATATAAGTTCTGTTAATGGACCCTCATTTATTGAGTCACATGTATCCAAATTTAGGTACTGCAGACTCTCCATATTTTCCGTTGCCATCCATGCTTCCAGTACCTGAAATTATACCTTTTCGTCTTTCTTTTTTTTAACAACACCATCTTTTTCTTCGTATAAATTGAGTGGTAAAGAAAAAAACAAAAGCTGTCATATCAACTTTTCTTGATATGACAGTCCTTAAATTACAAATGAAGTCAACTTTTCTTGATGTGACAGTCCTTAAATTATAAATGAAGTCAACTTTTCTTGATATGACAGTCCTTAAATTATACGTGTTCAGTACGACAGTTCAATCTTTCACGTTTTCTACAACGACCTGCTTACACGATTATTTCTTGTTTTGACCAGAACTTTTCAATTCAAGTAACAGAACAATTTAATTGTTCGGATCCGCTCATCATGCAAAATCTAATTCTTGCAATGGAATCTGTGTTTATTCAGAAGAAAGAGAAAATGAGAGAGCGCCAGGTGACTAGAAAGACCTAACGACTGATGACTGTACAGCAGTTTGACAGATAAACCACAAATTTGAGTTTAATATACTTGAAAATGGCTTAAATTTTGAAAAGTTTTATTGCTGCTTTCCGTAACAATAAAACAAATTATAAAAAGAAATAGCAGTGATAAAACACAGCTACAACAGATGTGAAGTATTACAAAATCACCGGTTTTCGACGGACTAATAATTTTCAAGTTTTATTCTCAATGCTGCCTAACACTGTTATGGTTCTGGAAATTTTGAGGACGCAATTTTTGTTGTACTGCCTGCCTAATGCCCACTTTTGTAGAGCAATTTGGTTTCCTAAATAGAATAAAAGAATTTGTGGTTGGTGCCCAACAAGTTGGCGCAGCTTCGCTCTCTACTGCTCGTTAAGAAAGTTAAAATTTTGAAGTAACCAAACTCATTAGTGACCTAAGAAAAGTTTTTAATTGAATTAAAAGAATAAACTACCTGCAACATTTATTAACAGAGCAAATAATGGTAGAAAGCAAAAGAATTACAACTCGCTGGAAATTTAAGTGCAGTTATATAAGATTAAGTAGTGCCAACAAGTTTTTTGCTGAATGAGATTAAAGTTTTTACAAGAACACGGACCAAGACGAAACTAAACGTTGTCAAAAAAGCAGCCTCGCTTCCGAGTTATAAATGGTTTACTCTTCAGCGGAAGTCACAGTTAACGCCAAAACGGGAAGAATCCAAAAAGAACAGACAAGCGTGGGAAAAAGAAGTCAAATTAACTTTGAACCACCTCACGTAGTTCGAAAATGTACATTTTATGCAACCTCATTTCACAAAAAAAAAAAAAAGACGTGACAGTTTGAACGAAGCTTTGTTAGTGCCGTCCAACGCAAAAACGCGATAATCGCTTCATTACTGTAAAAAGCACAGATTTTTGACTGCAAAAAGAAGGCCATTTACTGCTACTACTTACGAATATCAAAACGTTGTCGCCGGGCTTGAGACATTTAGGGTTAGTATCGCTGTACAATAAAAATAGGTCATCAGAGAAGAGCAATTTTTATTCTGACAAACTTGGGCATTTTTTACACAACAGGTCACTGTTGTAGACTACATTTTACAACAGCATGCTCAGTTTTCTAGGCAGTACTTACAGCATCTGCAGTCGTTGACAAACATCATTGTTTGTTTGACGTGTTACGCATCAGATTTCAGTCATCTAGGTTTTACTTATAACATTTTATCTTGGGAAAGTATTTCAGGTTTTCTGATAAAAGCGTTATCGCCTACTGCAATCTGTGCTCTTGTTTGAGCACTTCTTTCCGATCAGTATCTGTGATGTAAAGATGACTTTGAGTTAATAGGCAGTAGTTACCGAAAAAAAATTCTGCATTCATTGCACTAAAAGTCCTTATGCTCACATTTCAAGACAATTTCAATTTGGTACCTAAGAAGTAACTAAACGTCTGAGGTGTTTTAAAAATCTCGAGATTATTATGAAAATAGTTACTGATAGTAAGTATAGCTTATCAAATTGTACAAGTACAGTGTTGAGTGAAAGAAGGAAATATAACAAAAAGAAATAACAGCTTTAGAATAAACACTAAAAATAAAATCGTGTTGCATCCTGTACTTTAATTTCTGAGTTGTTTCACTGCCAAAGCAGTTTTACTGTTCGGACATGGTACTTTCATAAATTATAGAAATGGCGAGTAATAAGTGGCACTTCTGGAAGCATTATTTTGTGACAGCAGAGCAGCAATACAGAAAATTCAAAATTTAGTTGTACTTAAACTCTTAAACCGTAGGCAGATGCAAAGGTCAAATGAAATATTTCGAATAGAGACAAAGTAGATAACATAAAAAACTGGTAATTTCATTTTTTTCAAAAATTAAGGTAAATTATTTACTGTTTTCAGTGTTTTCAACTTTAGAAAAACTAATTTTTTTGCCTCTATATTTGCAGTCATAAGTGTTAGGGTGCTTTTCAAAACGATGATTACACTACTATGAAGTTCTTTTGAAAGGAAATTACGTGCATTCCTACAAAAGTAAACCAATCACTTTCACTTACGCTATCATTCATATTTTCGAGCCAAGATGCATCAAGCCACCGAAGATGCCGCAACTTGGTTAATATAGTAATAAGAGTTTCGGTAAGTAATTCTGTACCACATATATTTAGCTCTTCAATTCGACTGTTCTCCCAATCAACGCTTTGCATAACTTTGTCATCCAACGCTACAATACAGCGTGTTTAATTGAGGTTTAGCCTTTCCTACATAGCACTTACCAATTTACTATTTTATACAACTTGTAAACATTGATTCTGCAGAGTTGCTGACAAACATATTTCAGAAATTAAAAGGGCACACTCATATTTGTTATAGCCAAATCTTAGTTGTTTCCAAACATTACAAACATTGAGTTTGCCAAGTACCCTTTACCTATCAAATATAATCTACAAATATATTTCCTTTCTTAAGTTTACACTCTGTTAAAAAGAATAATGGCAAGCGTTTTTTGCACTAAACCTTATGAAGTATTTGAGAAGTGTAAAGAACGAAACGCAAAACTGCTGTAGTACTTGAACAAATAAATTACTGAAGAGGTTGTTGACTGTTAAAAGGCAATTATTTAGTTAAAATCTTTGGTTCTGTAAAGACCACTTGTTAAAAAATTCTAAAAAAGTTTAGGCGAAAACAAGTAACTGACTAGCATGAGCAAGAAACAAGCATCGAAGTTTCCTGCATCGCTGTAAAGCCAATCGGAGACAAGCTCCGGTTACTTTGTTGCAATAATTAACGCATAAGCACTGTAGATGGGCGCAGTTCGATGAGATAGCGTCTACGTGTTCATCTGTGATGAATGGTACCTAAATTTTTTTGAAGAAAATAATTGCTGATCAACTTTTGCACTCTGATATGCCACATATTTTACCCTTTTAATAATAGACTGTTAAAAGAAGATAAAGAATAAATAAAGCACTTTTCTTTTGTTTTAAATGACCAATCTAAAATAACGTTGTCATAGTGATTTGCATTTCTTTGAAAAATCTAAAACTGGTCAAAAATTTGGTTAGACTAAAACTATAACCAATAATTTTCTAAATACTCTTCTATTCTTTCTTTACAATTTCCCCGGAAACAAAAAAAAAAAACTGTCTAACAAATTTAACGCACAATTAAATCTTTTACCCGTTTCTTCTACAAGCAAAATTTCTGATTTTGATCTACTGCAAAAATGTAACCTCCCAATGCAACTGCAACAATTTTTTTTTCTTTTTTATTTTGAAGTGACATTTATAAATTACGTATTTGTCAAAAGCGTAAAAAAATGCAGTAAAACCAAAGAACGGTCCTATATGACCATTAAAAACTTACTCCCCAGAAATTGACCACTCGTAAATTAGGCATATATTGTTTCATTTTATGCACATTTACAGTTTCGTAAACTTCTTCTTCTTCATCTTCTACTTTTTCGTAAGTCCCTGAAAAAAACAAAAAAAAATCGAAAACGAAGAAATTAATAAAACAGTAGAAAAACTACTGAAATTCTGATTGAAAAAAAGTTTTGTATTATAGTCGTTTTCAGAAAAAGTTTGCTATAAAAACTTTTTTTTTTAATTA